AAAGGGAGTTCCACAAGAGAGAAATGCGAGAAAAGAAACTGCCAGCATAGAACTTATGGTTGCATCTAGCCAGCTCAACTGTAAATTGGTGAGACCTCGTCACCAGTCTGCTACTGCACTTAAATTCAAAGAGTCTAGGCATCATAACGAAGAGCTCATCCGAACAATTACTACGAAAATATTTACAGAAAAGTCACACAATAGCTGAAAGAAAATAATAACAAATATTTATTGTTCAAAGAAATTCTATATACCGCTATCATGTAAGATTATATACAAAATGTACATACCCGCCACTATTTGTTCCACACAGAGAAATTATAGCACATATGAATACAAACAGTAAATTGAGAGGGTTTTACGTGTAATAATTCCCGAAGGGAAAACGACTAGGCCGGTAGTGTCCTCTTTGTCCTTTGGTGGGACCACGTGGTTTCGCCTTACCGCTATGGACTACAATGACACCTATTTTATTAGTAGTAGAAGTAGCAACTGGAGTCGTCACTTCACGAACTAACACATTACTCTAACTTTCATAAATTCAACTTGCCCAAAGTGGAATAATCGCCCTTTGGATCTGTATAGGTTTAAGGTCATACATAAAGAGTGTCTTTATATATCGCTCTCATTTTTAGAATGCTTTATCTACAACAAAGACACTTCCAAAATCCAATCAAGGATATATATATATATATATATATATATATATTATTATTATTATTATTATTATTATTATAGAGAGACTTGGTTTTCTTTTGTAATAAAGTGTTTTCGTGACCGAACAATCCTTAAGCTTCCGGGCTTATACAAATGAAACTCATACAGATACTTATATTATAAAGAGAGGACTCTCAAGCAGTATCAACGAAACCCGGATGTAATGATAATCCTAATTATCTAACAAAACAAAGAAGTAGTGTTGTGGTTTTCTAATCGTTACTTAAATGTGGCACAAGGCCAAAAGTATGCAGCACCCAGTGACAATCTATCTCACTATTCAGACGTAACTGATCTAGTAAGACAAGCTTGCTAATCATTGCACACCGTCGAAGTGCCCTATGGTGATTTTCAAAACGTAAATTAAATGAGGCGTAAGGCCAAAATTACGGGGCACCCAGTGAAGATCAAACTCACTATTCAGTCGTAACTGATCTGGCAAAATATGCTTGCTAAGCATTACACCACATCAAATTGCCTTATGACGATTTTCAAAGCGTAGCTTTGATGTGAGACGGCCAAATGCATGTGGCACCCAGTGACGATCGAACTCACAATTCAGTCGTAATTGATCTAGTGAGACAAGCTTGCTAGCTATTACATCAAGCCTAAGTTCCCTAAAGAAGTGGTGTGGTCACGATGAAAACTTCTGAATATCTGAAACAAACTGTAGCAGTTTTGAGAAACAAATCAATAGTTCAATTATTTATTTATTATGCACTACAAAGCTGTTCTATCTTAATATAAAGTCACACTGAGAAGAGTTACGCGTATGAAATCTACCTGGATGTTTATTTTTCGTTAAGTTACGATACTTTATGTAATTTCTAACTGATGTATCTGGTAAGTCATGTTATCTTCAGTTCCCGTTCTCATATCTTTTCTTCAGTTATCCGAAATTAATTCAAAATAAGTATCACTGAAAAGGGCTTTTGTGCATTCACAGAGAATACAGAACCACCACCCCTGGGATTTTTAGAGGAAATACCAATAAGTTATGAATACCAAAATCATAAAGCGAATTACGTAATAACAGGCAAATCGGTTATCCGAATGTAACAATTCAAAGTAACTAGCCCTGAAAAGGGCTTTTGTGCGTTCACAGAGAAAATAGCCCTTAGGAGGGCTCGTGTTAAAATAAATTTACAACAGGTTTACAAACAGACTGAACTATAGTTTCACAATAGACCTGCAAATAGATTTATATAGAGAGTTACAAATAGAATAACATAAATTAACAAAAGATTAACAACACTGACAAATAGTACATTTAAATCATAAACACCTGATGATCGGGTGTTTCTTATCAAGTTTGCAGAGCCTCTTGATAAACAACAATTTTGGTCTTTCCGCATGGTGTATAAATAAACAAATGACTAGAATTACCGACTTTTGAAAATCCCACATAAATTTGGCTATAGGAGAAAACCGGTTTTGCAAAGTGGTATGCTTACCACATCCAAGGACGACCCTGAGCATATATATATATATATATATATATATATATATATATATATATATATATATATATATATATGTACACATATAAATATACATATATCAGGTCATCCCATAAGTTCTGTCCGAATTTTGAATAAAAAAAACAAGTGACCAAATGTTACATTTAATTACAGATTCAATCAACAATGTATTTTCCTTGATTATCTATGACTTCCTTCCATCTAATAACAAGCTTACTAATTCCATTACGGTAAAATTCTTTTGGCTTTCATTCGAAGAACTCACAAATGTCAGTTTTAACCTCTTCCTGTGTTACAAAAGCTGTTTCTTCCAAATGATTCTGTAAGCTACGAAACAAATGGTAGTCTGAAGGAGCAAGATCGGGAGAATAAGGTGGATGAAGAATTTTTTCCCAACCAAGTTCTTCGATCTTTTGTGGCATGATTCTTGCTGTGTGGGGTCACGCACTGTCCTGATGAAACATCACCCCTTTTCGATTCACTAGAGCAGGTCTTTTTTTCCTCAAAGCTTGGTTCAAACACTCTAATTGCTGACAGTATATTTGAGCATTAATTGTTGCATTAGGTGGTAAGAATTCAAAGTGGATTATTCCTTGGCAACCCACCAGACTGAAAGAAGAACCTTTTGCCCATGAAGTTCCCTTCTCGTCTGTGGCTCGGGTCCTTCCCCTTTACCATGCCACTGTCTACGACGCTTAACATTTCGATAAAAGATCCATTTTTTGTCGCTAGTCACAAGTCTATCTAAAAAAGGTGAAACAAGTTGACGAGAATGGAGAGAAGAGCAGATGTCAACTCGGAATTTGAGGTTGTTTACAGACTATTCCTGAGGCACCCATTTTCCAAGTTTAGGAACTTTTCCAAGTTGTTGAAGATGACGATGAACAGTTGTATGGTTTGAACTAAAAACCACTGCCAATTCCGAAAATGATAAAACAGGATTTTCTTCAAGGACTGCTTCGAGAAGATTTTTTCTTCATCTTCAAGGATGAAATCTCAACCTCTGAATTTTGCAAACCATCTTCTGCAAGTTCTTTCATTCACACATTCCTCTCCATAAACTGAGTGAATGTTTCTAGCCGCTTCGGCTGCTGAGTTTCCTTTCTTGAACTCATAAAGCATTATGTGCCTCAAATGATTCTTGGGTACTTCCATGTTGGCAGAGTTTTAATCAAAGAAAATGAAATAAAATTTCATCGGTTTAAATGCATCTAAACATAAAAATAATGTTCAGCTCCATTAGACATTATAAAATACTCTTTAAATTCCGTTCAGTTTAACAAAAAGTTAAAATTCGGACAAAACATATGGGATGACCTGATATATATATATATATATATATATATATATATATATATATATATATATATATATATGTGTGGAGAATAACAATGATTTTTACAAAAGCTATTTAACCTATAGCTAGAGGGAGGGGGAAATGGGTCTATACTTTACCCAAGGGTATTTGGGCGTAAGCGAATTTAACGAATATAACGAACCCGACTGGAATTCGAACTCCTCCTCCCGATTTCTCGTTCAGAACCACTATCTATGACAGCATTGAACAGAGTTGCAAGGAAACATTTTTTATCATCTCACAAAAAAAGAAAATAAACACTTTTTAATTTTTATGCCAATATATTTCTTGGAGCATACCTACGTACGATAATGGGTATATCCTCATTCATATAAATGCAATAGTAAATACTGTATGTTGGCCTGCAGTAGGAGATTCGTCTGCAGCCGGAGGCAGAGAGGATCCCCAGACGTCTCGGGAAACAGCTAGCCGACTCCGTTTTATACGGTGTCTACGGGGAATTTTTAGCCGAGCCTACGTGTTCGAATACTCCACATTAAATTTGGCCTTGTGCCACATCTGACCGCGTAGGGCGGTTGGTAGATATCCTTCAGTTGGAGATTCATTGTGGAAATCACTTGACTCACTTCTAGCAGTTGTCTACTTCTTCTACACGCCGCTGGCGAATCTTATATGTGTTGTTCGTGTCCTAAGTATTATCGTTCATTACCAACGTTCAGGTGATTATTCTATTCAGTAAACTTCCCTAGGTTACGACAATATTATAAAAGGTAAACAGTCACATGGAATATTAGAGAATTGAAGTATTAAATTTAAAAAATTACAACTTAAAAATAAAAAATTGCAGTTCTAGATTTGATCTATTTCATTGCAGCAAATATTCTTAAAAAATAAAACTTGTTTCATTAATTTGCATAAAAAGAATCAAGAATAAAGGTAAGTTATAGAACAAAAATTGTTTATTACATAAAAAGCATAGCATCCAAAATTACAGAACAAACTATCAGGTATCATTTTTTGATAGCTTAACATCGAGCAGAAGTAATAAGTAATGAATACATAAAAAGTTTTTAGCATTTATGAAACTCTTAACAAATCGTTTGTACTTTTCCAAAAGGTAAAATCAATTTGGTATAATGAAGTTAATCACTAAATCTTCATTAAACATTTTAGAATTTTCAAAACGTATTTTAGAAAACAAATCATAATATAGAAAAGGATCATGGGAATGATTTTAAGATGAATTTGAAACCAACATTCCAAATCACGATTGCAAATATGCCAGTATACAATGCTAAAAAGGAATCGATAGTGTTATGTTGTGTCTTTGTTTTTTCATTTGTTGTTTTTATTTATTTATTTATTTATTTATTTTTTCAAACGCACTTTGCAATATTAGCATTCAAACATCGTCCTTTTGCAGTGTCCCAGAGCTGACCCGAGTTGCAATGATTAATAAAACCTTGCCCATTAACACACAATACAAAATCTGTGCAGGAAGTTCGGTGCTGGAATATGCCTGTACCACTGTTTTTACACAGTCCGCTTATCCACTCGGATTCTGAAATTAAAAGGTTATATAAATTTAGGTTCTTCTACATGTAACACTAGTTTTCTTTGATTGCAAACGTACAGCTCAGATGTCTGACCGTGCGTTTTTTGTCTTCTTTTTTTTGTTGTTGTTATTTTTATTATGTGTGTGAGGTGATAAATGTCGGGGCGTTATATCGTCGATGTTTACTTCTGCATAGTTTTAAACATAGAGAATGCGTATATTCACTGGTTTGTAAAAGTATCAGCTAGCTAGCTAGATAGATAGATATTGATCAATTAGATGAATAGATGTGGATCCGTAAAATAGATCGATAGATAGCGGCATATTAATCAGTAATATATATATATATATATATATATATATATATATATATATATATATATATATATTATCCTCTTGGAAAATAAATGTGAATTTTTAAACAATGACTACTACTACTAATATTAAAGGCTCTCCCTGAATTGAGCACTGTCAGTCATTGGCGTGTTTATTCACAGAGCAAGTACGTAAAATTCGCCTTTCGTTCAACCGTGCACAATCTGCGACTGATGCCAAACCAGTCGGGTTTTGATCACGGCTTGAAGCAATCGGATATCTAGCCACACTGATGAGCTGTGAAACAGCAAAACAGTCTGACTGTGGATGAACATATATATATATATATATATATATATATATATATATATATATATATATATATATATATGTATGTATTATCAATATATATATTCAATATATATATATATATATATATATATATATATAATATATATATATATATATATATATATATATATATATATATATATATATATAAAATTGATCAACATATATATATATATATATATATATATATATATATATATATTGAACAATTAGATAAATAGATAGATATTGATCAGTGAAATTGAGACTGACCCATTATTCAGCTTGGAGAGGGGTACTATCTGGCCTTGAAAATCAATATTCGAACTCCTTCTTTTCCCTTAGTTTCAATCCTAAACCTTCAAATCTAAATGTACTCGGTTTTACCTGTCACAGGACTCTTAAAATAGGGCACTCAGTAAGAATCTCACCCGTTACACAAACATTGATCCTTTTTTCACTTTCGTCCGTGAGTGTCAAAGATAATGTATGAATGTCATTTCCGGTATCACAGACAAAAAGTTTTGGGGTTTTTTTTAGGGTGGATAGAGAGTGAATGAGAGAGCGAGAGAGATATGTATTTATACATGTTTATACTACCTAACATTAGGTGAATTTTCATAAAATTAGAGACTGCAGTATACTGAATAATTTCACTCAACCCTACTCGTAGAAATGGATCAACTAGATTATGGCTTCGTAGAAAGGAAATTACAAAACCTCCTACAGAAGGTAGTGAAAGAGAGCAAGAAGAACGGACTAAGCATAAACTACTAAAAGACAGAATCCACGGTCATCAGCAAAAAGATGGGCCCGAAATACGATTTATAGGCCGAGGACACTAAAATCAAGCAGGTGCGGAATTTTAATTCTGGACGTGTTCTGGCAGTGGACGGTAAGTGCGATGCTGAGATCCGAAGATGTATTGGGATGTCCAAAGACGCATTCCAAAAGTTAGGCACAGTATTACGAGACAGGAGGATTTCGTTGGTAACAAAGAAAAGAGTACTGAACTGATACGTGACATCTGCCCTTCTTTACGGCAGTGAATGTTGGACGGTCACCTCAAAGATGAAGAAAATACTCGAGGCAACAGAGGTATGGTTCTGCAGAAGGATACTTAGGATGCCATAGACCGAAAATGTGAGCAACAGTGAGGTTCTGGAGAGGATGCAAACAAGGCAGAAGCTTATATTTAACATCAGGAAGAGGCTGCAGAAATTTCCCGGACAAGTAATGAGAAAAGAGGGTTTGGAGAATCTGATACTCACAGGGAAGATAGAGAGAAAGAGTGACAAGGGAAAACAACGCATAACATACATGGCGGGCTTAATCAAGTGGATGACAGAAGAGAGTCTGGGAGAAATAGCAAAAGGACAAAACATAATGAGAGCTACAAATTATAGGAAGAAGTGAAGAGTCATGATCGCCTACTTCCTGAAGGGACGCGGGACATAAAAGAAGAAAAAGCAGCTGTAAGCTTGGATGTGCTTGTCATGTAATGGATAATGGATAATTTGCAGGTCGGAGTCACTAAAATCAAGCGGGTGCAGACATTTAAATATCTGAGAAGTGTTCTGACAATGGACGTTAAGTGCGACGCTGAGATCCGAAGACGTATTGTAATGGCCAAAGATGTATTCCAAAAGCTAGAGTATTACAAGACAGAATGATTTCTTTGATAACAAAAAGGAAACTCATATTTAACATCAGGAAGAGGCAGCTGAAATTTCTGGGAAACGTAATGAGAAAGGAGGGCTTTGAAAATCTGATACTCACAGGGCGGATAGGTGGGAAGAGAAACAAGGAAAGCAACACGTGACATACTTAATGAGCTTAAGAAAGTGGATGGTAGAACAAGGTCTAGGAGAAATAACAAAAGTCAAAGCTTATTGAGAGGCACAAAGGACAAGAGGAAATGGAGATCCATAATCGCCTACGTCATGAAGGGACATGGCACATAAAAGAAGAAGGAAATCAAATTTAAACGACTAATATTTACCTATGCTTGAACTGAGTAAATCTTTATAAACTCAAATATCAACCACTAGTATTTATCTATCCTTCCTCAAAGCAAGTAAAGACTTATAGGCTCAAATATAATTTTTAGTAAACTGATTTCGACTTTAAGTAACCCAATAATATTCGGGGTATACGTGTGCGTTTGTGCTTGAGAGAAAGGGAGAGAGAGAGGGAGAGAGATGACAGAAAAACAGACTGAGTGAGAGAAAAGTTTAAAGGTTCAACAATCTAACGTACCTGGTATGCCATGATGTTCATTGCCAGACGATGGAGAAGTTCTGTAACAAAAGAAATGTTAAAAGACAAAAAATGTAAAAAAAAAAAAAATAAAATAAAATCGACGGCATGTTTGCAACTTTTCAATAATGGTTTGGTAAAGACAAAATACAGGGCGAGTCAAATGTCCCCAAGAAGAAACTGTATTTTTAATATATATATATATATATATATATATATATATATATATATATATATATATATATATTATGCAGTGTTACATTAGAACATGCACATATCCACTACAGAATTGTTCATTTTTGTTTCAACATCAAAAAAAAGGGAAAACATTTGTAGACGTCTCATCAGGTGAGGAATTACGGTGTTACTAAAAAAAATTATTCAGAAATACAGTTATATAACTGCATTTCTGAATAAAAAAACAATTAACAACACCGTAATTACACCTGATGAGCCGTCTAAAAAGGTTTTCCCATTTTTTGACGGTGAAACAAAAATGTACAATTTTGTAGTGGATATGTGCATGTTCTAATACAACACTGCATAAGATAAATAAATATTTACGGCTCTACTTTCTGTATTGAGCAATATTTTTAAATTAATGTTTTGAACGCGGTAATCCTACTGTTCGTTCTCCTACCATTATATATATATATATATATATATATATATATATATATATATATATATATATATATATTATTAATAATAATAATAATAATAATAATTTTTATTTTTATTTTAGAGATTTTATAAAAAAACATTCGATATTAATCTTGGAAAAATTTTCAACCGAGCAAGTGAACATAGACTGTGAAAAGAAACATATTGAAATCTCTCCCGGATTTTTGATCCATATAATACGCTTTAAAGTATCATTGTATAATACACACCGTAACCAGAAATAATAATTTTCAAAACCAATTTTTTTTTATTTTATTAAAGACGAAGTATTCCATATCACGAAATTTAAAATAATGAATAATCTTTTATAAAAGTTAATAGAGGGTTCAATTTGCTATATAATTTCATTGTAATTATCACCCCCACTACGAAACTTAAAAAAAGATTATGCTCATATATCACCTGATTCAAAATGTAAAAAATTAATTTGGAAATTTTAACCTAGTGTTTTTTTTTTTTTTTATAGTAAATAAGTTCGCATACCGTCCGGTTCATATAAAAATTACTCCAAAGGTAGCGAGAATACGTCAAATATTTTTTTCACGGAGTGAGAGAAAAGACTCCGCTGGAAAATACAGAAGGAACAGAAATACTAAAAGATCAGCAGTGGAAAAGATGGACAGGGACGAAGCAGCAGGGTCTGACGGAATCGTATCAGAAATGCTATCAGCCATAGACGAATTTGGCATCGACAAGATCACAGAAATAATAAAGAAATATACAACAGTGGCTTCATACAGGAGTACCTCACCAAATCTATTTTCGTCACATTACCTAAGAGACCAGGTGCAAATAGATGCGAGATCCATCGGATAATCAGTTTACTGAGCCACATAACCAAACTAATGATGCGAATCCTGATGAACAGAGCGCAAACAGAATTAGACCAGAAATGGGGCAAGAATTATGCGGCTTTGTCAAAGAAAGCGGAACAAGAAATGATCATAATGATACCAAAGAGAGCAATACAAATGTAGAAGGATGTGCACTTATGTTTTATAGATTACGCAGAAGATTTTGACAAGGTACGGCACAAGGATGTATTTGTACTGCCAAGAAAACTCAATCTTTTTGGAAATTATGTTAGAATAATCCAGAACTGGGAGCAAACCGCCTGCATACTGATAGAACATAAATTGCTATACAGAAATAGAACAGGGAGTGAGACAAGGATGCACCTTCTCCCCAGATTTATTCAACCTTTACAGTGATGCTACACTAAGGGAACTGGAGAACCTACGTAGATTTATTATCGGCGGGCGTAATCTTAACAATATAAGATACGCAGATGATACCAAGCTGATTATTCTAGGACAGTTGCGTACTGGACATTTGCGTCCCGGACAATTGCATACCAGGCAATTGCGTCCCTAGACAAATGTGTCCCTGAATAAATGAGTACCTCTAATAATTTTTTTAAAGCCTTTTAAATTTTGAAAAAAGCATAGGCAGTAATCATAAATTTTTCAAAAAGGAATAAAATTAGAAAAAAAAATTAAAACCTTATTTTTGCTTAAAACGAAATGACAGATTAACAATGTTACAAGATCGCTCTCCACATCACCAATATGTTTTTGTTTCATCGGCGTTCTTCTTATGATAGCGGTAGCTGTAATTTTCCTCGTCCATAAATATTTTTCCACCAGGGTTTGATTTTCGGAACTTAGCCATGGCTTCCAAATCAGAATATAATCTATAAAATCCAGAATCTATTAGATATAGTGAACTAAAACTGCTAGCTTAATTTTCTCTTACTTTACAAAAGTGATTTTTCTTTTTTTTGTTTATGGTAACTACCTTTCTGCTTGGCTAGAGTAATTAAATGTATTAGTGTGAAAATTCCTATATTAAACAACTCTCTTTTAAAAAATAGTAACTTCAAAAAATCATTTCAGGTACGCAATTATCCAGAGATACATTTGTCTAGGAAGGCAAATGTCCAGGGACGCAATTGTCTGGTATGCAATTGTCCGAGACGCAAATGTCCAGTACGCAACTGTCCGTTCACCCATGTTGATGGCCGACTCGGAAAGCAACATGAAAGTCTTTAAAAAAATGGCAATACTTCTATTCAGAATTGAAGAAGAACTGAACTCACTTAAAACATTTATCTGCAATTCATCCGAAAACTCCTCAACGAACAGAAACAAAAAATGGTAAAATAGAAAATAGCTCGGGAGAGATATCTTACGTGTTCTGTGTTGTGTTCTGTTTTGCTGCCGTGTAAATCGCGTGGAGTAATGGATATTTTTGACCCCCTGGACAAATTCCAGCAAAGTCATCCATGTCAAAAGACCAGATCATCACTCCGCCAAAACCTTCACTCATTGCAAATTCAACCTGGAAGTATAATATATTTAAATTGTTTGTTATTTAAAACATACATTGATTTAAAATTAGCGTAGTTAGAGAAAGGTGTGTACCTGTGTTCTATACCTTGACATATTTGGAAAGGATATTAGAATAATCCAGAACCTATACTGGCAGAAAACCACCTGCATACGGAGAGAAAATGAATTCAGTAGATAGACAAAAACAGAAATGGTTATAAGACAAGGATGACTCTTCTCAACGGACTTATTCAACCTGTACAGTGAAGCGATTCTGAGAGAATTACAAGTCCGACCAGAGTTCATTATTAGCGGCCACTTAAAAGAAACTCTTAGAGAAGGTAGTGAAGGAAAGCGAGAAGAAAGGACTAAACATAAACTGCAAGAAGATAGAATGCGTGGTTAAAACCTATTGAAAAGACCCTCAGGAGCGAGCATTTCAAGACAATTTTAGAGTCTTGTCTGCTCCCTTCTGCTGAAACGGTGCAAATCGACCCCACCAAGCTCATTTTATGCAGAGTAATGCTCCTTGTCACAAATCAAAATTGATGAAGGAAGTGAAAATCTATGAGTCTTAGCGAAGACCACACTTCATCGAACATGGTGGACTGGATCTACAAAATCACCAACAAAGAACTGTACCAAATAACACTTGAGTAGCAAAAGGATGACCCTCAAAATGTAAATTACAACTCGGGGATACCAAAATCAAGCAAGTGCAAAAATTTAAATATTTGGAAAGCGTTTTAACAGATGACGGATAATGCTACACTGTACGGTTGCTTATTCTGTCAAAATATAATAAAGTACTTAAAGAAATATATATATAAGTAGTAATTAATTTCTCTTCAGCAGCCGGTTTTCTATGAACACAGTTTTGTTTGATAGAAAAGCTGGTCATTTAAGAGGAATTATACAACCTTTTCTTTTTGACAGTTAATTTCAACATGTTTCCGCTCCTTCAAGCTATAATTAACTTTCGTACCGATAAGAAAATTGTAAAATAGTAAATTTTAATTGAATTTAAAATAGCTCCGCTTTTACCTTCTTTTATGATGTTGATTTGGGGTTAGTAGAGACAAACGCCAAATAACACGTAACAATAAAAAGGGTTTTAATAAGTTGGTAAAAGGTACAGAAATCGCCTGAGTAGTCAATAACTAGCTCAGCTAAGAACTTCTCTGTCTATCTGTCGTCTGACATGCCACTATTTAAAGTCTTTGTTCACAGACGCAGACAAGTTCATCCTCAAGAGGGGTGGTAGGTTTCCGACACAACACCTTCTAAATACAGCAAAAGAGAAAAAGAGAAAGTGTTTGTGGAGATCACCCCCCACACACACACACATACACACACACACCTTGTCCAGTAGGACGCCTGCTAGATGTCCTTCTAATCAGGACTATAAAAGGAACGGATATGAACCCTCTTTTTCACTCTGCAATATAGTGACAACATCGGAACTTTTCTCTGCCGGAAGAGATTCCTACCCCTGAAAAAACTGACTACTTAATTTCAAATAAACCACGAAGACGTCAAAAACGCTCAAACAAGCGCACTACGGTTAAGTACATAAATGTCTTCTTTCCTTTTTTTTGAGTTATCTGTGTACACGTCACGTAAATATAACATGGGCGCCCAATCTCCTGGCCTCAACCACATAGAAAACTTATGGAGCATGTTGCTCAACTGCTATACGACCACTTTCTAAGATCAATGCTTAAAAATAGCTTTGAGCGAGTGAAATCTATGAGTCTTAGCGAAGACCACACTTCATCGAACATGGTGGACTGGATCTACAAAATCACCAACAAAGAACTGTACCAAATAACACTTGAGTACTTTCAATAAAAGCAAAATCTAAAATGGATATCACATACAACTCGGAGAGAAAATAATGTCATAATCACGATGCTGACAAATTTCTACCCAAATCACCGGCGTCTAAAAATGGAGCTTTTACCGCGGTCGCTATAGCTTCTCTGCCTTTTGGCTGAGATCTAAGTGTCAGACACAGCTTATTCTGATTTTTTTCTCTCTCTCTCTATCTCTCACACACACATTTTCTCAGTGAAGCCAAGTAGTGTTTTTCCCTTTGTTCCAAGCGATCGAAACGGAATAGTATATTATTCATGAGATATTGATGGGTCGTGCTAACTAATGAATTGAAGGACAAGCACAATCATAATAGGATTACAGGAAAAGTAAAATGTCTAAAACTGGAAGATTTTATGCCCGCTTATTAACTTCCTTCTCTGTCAATTATTTTGGAAAAATCGTTTCATTTTCAAACGAATTTTTTTATTTGTTTTTAATATGCCAGCTAAGAAACTGAGGCACGTTGAAGATCGACGTATAAACACGTCTGAAGCTAGTTTTTGAACGGTATGTTTTGGACATGTTTATTTGTCCGTGTCTGGAAAAAAGATACTTTCGTATATACACGTCTACGCTGGGGAAGTGGTTTAAAAAACATCAAGGATGTTTTTGTTTTTTTTTCTTCTTTTTTTTTTAGTTTATTTGAAACTATTTTGGTTAGAATACAAGTGTTAATTATACAATATATATTCACGGAAAACGTCTGTGAGTAGCTGATATATTAAAGTTATTTCCTGCTTATAAGTTTGTTTATTTGACATGAACTGTTCAGTTATGAATAAAGTATTGGGATAGGAAACTGCCTTTAAGAAAAAAAACAAAAAAAAAACAAAGTGTACTAAATTACTATTTAATACCTAATCTCCGAGGTGGTAGAGAATGCAGAACAATCTTCTCACAGATGAAGAGACTTGATGAGACAGAGATGTGGCTCTACCGATGAATGCTACTGATACATGGGCAGAGGAAATATGAACTGTAAAGAAACTTATACTTACAATCAGAGAGAGATAGACAAAATCTCTGGCACACATAATGAGGAAAGTCGGCCTAGAGAATCTAACACTCGTAAGATATGCTGAAGACAAGAGAAACAGGAGGGAAAACGAGTAACTTAATTTATGAGTTTGCGCCAATGGGTGGCAGAACATGGACAAAAAGTTATGGTAAAGAGTCAAAAGCTACTTAGAGCAAAAAAATATATGTTGTGAAGAACCATGATCACTTACATTACGAGTTTGTGAGAATGAGTGGCAGAGCATTGACAATGAGGAATGAGTCAAGATACTTGAAAAGCAAAAAAATACTGGAAGTTGAGGAGAGCCATGATCATCTACTTAACATATTTGTGCAAATGGTTGTCAGAACATGGACAATAGAGAATGATGGTAAAGAGTCAAAAGTTACTTAAAGCAAAAAAAACTGGAAGTTGGGGCGAGCCATGATCACCAACTTAATGAATTTGTGAAAATGGATGACTGAAGGAGAAAGAAGGACGATAAAGTGTAAAAAAAATTACTTAGAGCAACAAATCATGAAATTGTGGAGAGCCATGATCGCCCACACCCTGAAAGGATATGGCACATAAGTAAACTATACTGCTGTTAAAGCTTATTACTTTTCTTCTGTACAGTATAAAACTTGGCGCAGCAGGAGATTTATTCAAATACCTATCTGATAAATGCAAGAATCCACATGTATCTTCATAACCTTATAACCCGCTTGAAATAACGGAGATGATTATTGAATTTAGCTATTTTCTCACTGCCATAAAATTGCCTCCTTGTGCCTTTTCTTTAAATATTTTCATGGTAATTGTTCGGATGAGCTCTTCGCTATGTTACCTAGACTTCTTTAATTTAAGCGAAGCACTAGACTTGTGATGGTGTCGCATCATTTTACAGTTGAGTTGGCTAGATGGAGCCGTAAGTTCTATCCTAAGAGTTTTCTTGTACTTTTCGCTTGTGGAACTCTCTTCCGGCTTCATGCTTTCCAGCCAATTTTAATCTTCAAAAATTGAAATGCAATGTTAGTCGTTATGCCTCCTGATTCCTCTTCTATTGTTATCGCTTCTTAGTAATGTTTCTGTTTTCTAATTCTTCCATACCGAGGAACCCCTTGTGTCTTAGCGATTTTACTTACCTTCTGTAAACTATAAAGGGAAAATAACTTTTTTCTGCGAAAATATGGCTTTCTTATATCAAGAATATTTTAAATTTTAAAGAGAAAATACTTTCCCACGAAAATATGATTTTAGGGAGAAAATACTTTTCTACGAAAATAAGTCTTTTTTATATCAACAATATTTTAAACTTTACAGAGCAAATAACTTTTTCTGCTAAAATACGGCTTTCTCATATCAAGAATATTTTAAACTTTAGAGAGAAAATATTTTTTCTATGAAAATATGGCTTTCCATATCAAGAATATTTTAAACTTTAGAGAGAAAATAACTTTAGAGAGAAGAAAATTTTCTACGAAAATATGGCTTTCTATAACAAGAATATTTTGTACAATTTAGAGAGAAGTTATCTATACCTTTAATTTAACACTTTCATCATTCTCAAAAGCTATCCATTGATCTTGATGCACCATGTAATAGACACCTCTGTTGGGCATGAAAACAGTTCGGCTTCCTTTCTGTTGCAATTCACAAACCTGGAAAATGAAATATTATAAACATTATTTTTGTTTATCCACGCGGGACTAGGATATTAAAAAAAATTATTCCCAGGTGGAATTTTTTTTTTAATTTTAATAAAAAATATTATTTTTTCGTCCACGAGGTTCTTAGATACTATCAATGATGTCATGTCAGTGAAACATCACAGCTACATCAGGACATTTATTCATTTCACTGCTTTCAACAGCATGTATAAATTGCCTTGAATCATAATTCGATTCAGTGACAATATAAAATATCTTAGGCCTACGACCATATCACGTTGAAATACCGGTTCCTGTACGATCACCGAAGTTAAACGTCGTGCCTGGCCAGTACCTGAATAGGTGACCACTTGGGAATACCAAGTGCTATAAGCTTGGATGTGCAGGTATTGTAATGGCTAATGGCTCAGAATTGTTAATCAGAGAACCGAGTTCCAGTTCAGTTGCGTTCGTTATATTCACTTGCACGCAAATCCTCTTGAGAAATGTATGAATCCACCTCGTCTCCCCCAACTATGGGTTAATTATTAAAACTTGTATCCCTAAACCATTATTATCTTATTTTTGATTGTCCTACAATGAATAACTGACGAACTGATTTTTTCTTATTAACAGATTTGTTTTCTATGGCTTATCAACCATTTTTCATCTTATTTAATGCCAAAAAATATCGTAAGAATTTAGGGGGGGGGGATAATAATGATTTAATGATACTAATTAACCTATAGCTGGAGGAGAAGAGGTGGATTCATACCTTTCCCAAGGGTATTTGCGCGTAAGTGAATATAACGAACCCAACAGAAATTGGAACTCGGCTATTCGATTAACACTTCAGAACCATTATCCTTTATACGACCCGCACATCCTAGTTTGCAGCACCTGGTATTCGCAAACTGTCATCTATCAGGTTATATGTTGCTTAACTTCGTTGATCGTACGAAAACCGGTATTTCAATGACTTGTGGTCACAAGCCTGTAATTAAATCTATAAAAACACACGATATTTTCATCTAAAAGTTGCATTTTATAGTAAATGTTTTGCTTTGTAACAGATAAGCGGGGAAAATCGTTTATTTTCGTTACTATGCACGCTTTGTACTAAAGGTCAAGACTCGAAGATACAAAAACATTTTTAACGCCCCAATATTTCAAATTGTTTTATTTGCTTTATGACTCGCTACCCAGTTAATGCGAATAATGTATAGAAGTTATTACCGCCTTCCACAAACTGAAAGTTATAATATAACATCTGACATTGTACTTGTAAACCTAGAACTGGAAAAGTATAAGGTGTATTTATAGAAGTTGGAATCAGTTTTAATATTCATGTCATCAAGCTTTGTTACGTCTTTGGTATGACGATAAACTAAAGCTTCTGATCAGGAGATTTTGAGGAGCGTGGAACCACCTCTTAATTGCTGTTGTTTTTGTCGGGCGTCAAAACACTATGAAAGTGCAAAAATAGGTTTTTATAGTAAAATTACCAGCTATACATTTTTGAAAAGAAAAAATTTTTTACCAGAAATGCATATTTGAAAAGAAATTATTAGCAGCAATACAGTTTTGATAAATTATTAGCAGCAATACATTTTTGAAAAAAAAATTATTACCATCAATATCTTTTTGAAAATAAAAATTACCAACAATACATTTTTGAGAAAAAAATTATTACCAACAAAACATTTTTGAAAAAAATATTATCAGTATAACATATTTGGAAAAAATACCAGCAATAAAAATTTTGTGGGCATTAAAGTTACTAGTTGTTAGGGTAATTATGCAAACACAGAGAATAAATGTCTCTTATTTTTCTTGATTTAAAAACTCAGCTTTTATATAAGACGCCAGTCACTTGTGACGCATAAAGATTATGAATGGGCACGTGGCCGAGTAGTTAGAACGTTCACTTTCCAACTTCAAGACCCAGGTTCGAATCTCATTATGGTGGGTTTATCAGGAAGGTAACCTGAGGACCTTATCAGGTAAAAATGACTAGACTGAAAAACTGATTAGACTGAACTCAGTGGTTAAGTTTGCACGAAATTGAAAGTCATCGTGACCGAGGTTACTGGCCTTATTCAGATAATGCGCTTTCTCCCAGAAACTGTAACAAGGTCCGCTCAGAGTCATTGCAACATAAACCACAAGTGAGATTGGCATTTGGAAACCATCCTAGAAGCGGCCATAATAGTATGCGAGCGACCAGCCATTACATGGATTATGAAACAGATTGTTAAAACACTACTTAGTCCATGAAAAATATTTCCAGATTATAATGATTAGTGGTAGAAAAATAAAATATAGGTTCTACTTTTTCTATGCGCCATGTCTGTTCAGAACGTTGGCGATCATGGCTCTCCATGATTTCTTGTCTTTTGTAGCTTTTAATATACTTTGCCTTTCTGTTATTACTCCTATTTCCGCCATCCATTTCCTCAAGCTCCAGTATGTTACGTGTTGTTTTCCTCTGTCTATCTTGCCTTAGAGCTGTCCTGTGAGTATCGGATTTTTCAATCCTTTCCTCATTATGTGCCCTAGAAATTTTCTTTTGTCTCTTTCCTTTTTGTTTCCATTTTCTCTAAAGCTTCGTTGTTGCTCATATGTTCGGTCTTATCCTCAGCATTCTTCTGTAGAACTACATTCCTGTTGCTTCAAGTTTCTTTTTTCATTTTTGACAGGATTTTCCAGTATTCACTATCATTTAGGAGAAGAGATATTATGTAATAGTTCAATACAATTTTTTTTTTGTTTCTAACAATTTTTTTCTGTTTCTTAATACTTATACTTTTAGAAATGCATATTTACCTATCCTAGTATGCCTTCGGATTTCAGTGTGGTACTGGGAAGGAGGTGGAGTAATGGATAACGGCTCGGATTGAGGAATCGGAGAACCGAGTTTGAATTCCATTCGAATACATTAAATTCACTTACGTGTTAATAGCCTTGGGTAAGGTATTAATCTTCTTCTCCTCCCCTCAGCAATGGGTAAATAGCAGGAGAGATCTAGTTCTATAACCTTGAATGGCAACTGGTCTACCGCAGAAAGAAATGGCAACCCCCCAAAAATCTACTTCGTCAGTCATGTATCAAAAGATACATGATCGCCTACACGTGTATCACGCATGACACTTAACTGACTGACTTTCCGTCCTCTGTTAGAACACTTCCCAGATATTTAAATTTGTTTGATTTTGGTATCTCCAATGTGTAATTTACATTTTGGGTTGTCTCTTTTGTCAACACTTATGCATTCTGTCTTCTTGCAGTTGATGGTTAATCCTTTCTTCTCGCTTTCCTTCACTACCTTCTGTAGGAGTTTTTGGAGTCTTCTTTCTGTGCTCAAAGATGAAATTCCATTGCCTACTTTTATTCATATATATATATATATATATATATATATATATATATATATATATATATATATATATATATTATATATAATATACAGAAATCTTATTTTCAAACATTTCGATTCACATTTTAATTATGGCTTTTTAAAATTTAAAGCAGAAAAAGTCCATACCTCATAATATGCCAAATAACCGCTGATTTTTGTGTAGGTCCCAGCATGACCAGGACCATCTGAAGCTGCACCTTCATCACTGGAACTTGCTGTTTGTAGGTGGAAAGTTCGTGCATAAAGACTAATTCCAATGTTTATTGTTTCTTTGGGTATTCCAAGATTTACCAAATATCTGGCAGTTCTTTCCTGATAGAAAAAATGTTTATTTATCCTTAACGAAAAGAATGAATAACCAGTGTGTATTAACAATAAATAAACATGATAAAAAATAGATTATTCACGAAAAATAATTACCCTATATGAATGGTTCTCAACTGATTTGGGGCCATGCCCCACTTTGGTATTTCTAAAATTCTGGTACTCCCATGTAATATTTAATTCTTACATGTATGCCAATTACACATGTAGGTATATACACAAAATATTTTCATGTCTACATACTGTATACGCATTAACATTAACACTCTCACTCAGACTCACTACAAAGCAATTCACTGTTAATAACTCATTCTCGAATTGCCCCCTTATTCTGTTGGTATAGTAAGCCGAAGGGTGCACATCCTACGCATGCCCCACAAAAATATTACGATAACCCACCGTTGGGGCATGCGCCACACGTTGGGAATCATTGCCCTATATGTTCGACATTTTGGGTACTTTGGCGTGGTGTTGATTCGCTAGATCATTTTCTTAATCGGATTCACCCCATGCAAGAGAGTAAAGCCACTAAGACACAAGGAGTTACTGGATGTGAAAGAATTCCAAAACGGAAGCATTATTGAGGAGTCGAGAACAATAGAAGAGTAATCACGAAGACAGTAGATGACGATCGACATTGCATTTACATTTTTGAAGATCAAATTTGACTGGAAAGCAAGAAGCTGGAAAATATTTCCACAAGCGAAAAGTGAAAACTAGGCAGCTCCTGTTTCAGCAGTACTCCATTTTCCACCTGTTCTGACATTTGTAAAGGATAGTCACGTGCTTACAGGAGCGGTACAAGAAACCGACCATTTTCCGGCATCTTTGGCAATGAATTGTATGTAAGAGCACCACTTGAGGTCTGGGTCTAGCTTAAGGTCTAAGAGGCGCTCAAGACACGGGGCATCGCTAAGAGAACGCTCGTTCGTTGTGATAGATTAAAATTCAGGGCCCGCTCGATGATTACGGAACATCACTAATTTGTTTTTCGAGACAATGAATGTGAGTAGCCAGTTTTCCCCTACTGAGCTGTTAGAGTTGGATCAGAGGAGATATCAGTTTCCAGGCTCTGGGCACCTAGAGTTTTGTAAGTGCACGCATAGGGAGATTAACTTTCCATGAATATTACATAAACCAGACTTTGTCCTAAAAATGGCTTAATCCCTTAAATACATTTATCTATTTACAATGTTTTTACTAGCACTATAATTATCATTATCATATAATAATTATGCTTGTCCCTCCCTTAGTTTCTTTAGTTCGCGCAACCGTTACACCCTACCAATACCTCATAAATAATAAACTATTCTGTTTTGACCGCGTGAAAAGACAGAAATGATATATCAGAGACGCTACATGGTTTCAAGGAAAAAAAAAGAAAGAAAGAATCATTTAACGTCCCCTACCAATACCTCATAAATAATGGACTATTCCGTTTTGATCGCGTGGAAAAGATATATCAGTAAGTCTACGGGCATTTTATTATCGTTGAACTCGCCATGAGCTTATTCAGTCATTAACTCAAGAATTAAGATTCATCAGAAAATTCGAATAGGAAAACCATGAAATTTTCATGGTCTCTTCTTTAACTGAGAGAAAAATTGTACAGCATTCACTGCCATATAGGAAGTTTGATAATTCACAGCATTTTAATTTTCTTTGTTTTTGACGGCATTTTTCCGTTTCTTAATACCTAGATTAACTTAACTATTCTTATGCGGTCAGTTAACTTCACTGTCGTCCATATCAAAATAGACGTTATTCAGTGTTTTTCAGTGTATTAAATATCTTCATCTTCATCTTCGTCCCTTGAATCTTCTTGTTCTTTCTTTAAAAAAAAAATATAGTAGTAATGTCCATTTCTATTTTAAGCCAAGAAATAGAGAAATAGCCACGAACCATTGGAATGTCTTTGCTTCTCCTTGAGAGAGCTTACTTCCGCTAGAAGCTCGCCACTTTTTTATGTAAACATCTCTGAATTTTTGCTTTAAACATTCTGTAGATTTTGTTTTTTAAAGCTTAATGTAAACTATATCATTTTTTTGTTTTAGTCGATATGAACTGGATAGAAAATAATGTACAAATTTTAATTTTTTAAATGAATGTTAAATATTCTTCTTCTTCTGCATATTCTAAAAGGCTGGTGCATATTATATACCAGCGATTTTTTTCAGAATTCAACAGTCCAAATTTAGGGTCCTATTGTTTACAAGTACGTAAAATGCACGAATAATCAGAGCAGGTGCAAGGGTCTCGTACCCCCACGCCCCGGAATATATGATGCACCTCCAACCCAGAAGCTATGACAGAGCATCCACTCTACTACATCTCAATTTTCATAAGGTAGTATTTATATAAAATACAAATTTTAGCCTAATTATGTACAATAATAGATCACATGCAATATAAGTGAACAACTGAACCAGAAAATTTGAAAGTAAATACAATGTATCTAAATACAAATTATAGATATGTCATAATAGATCATTCCATCTTAAGTAGATCAACAATAGCTGTCTATATGGCACAGTGGATAAAGGCGTTGGTTAGATCCGGTGACAGGACCCAAAGAGTGTGAGTTCAATACCTGGTTAAGGCAGTGGAGAACTTGGTGAGGGGAATTAACTGATAAATGGCATCCATTAAACATGGCACGTGGAACTAAAACAGTCTACACCAGTGAGCGAAATAAAGGGTTTAGTTCGACATTCCAGCCACCTGAAGAAGGCTGGAGCGTACAACGGCCGAAACGTTGTGATAAATATGGAGACAAAGATGAGGACAATAGTCCGAATAATGTAGCGTAAATCAACAATGTTTTACGGCAATTTTTTAACATCAAATTGATATATGTTTGTTTGTTTTTTGTGTTATTTTTGTTTGTTTTTTTGGTGTTTTTTTTTGTGTTTTTGAGTTTCTTTTGTTTTTTTTTATTGAAACGTTGAATAATTTTAACACATTCAACATTATGCATAAAAATAGTGAATTTTATAAAATATTTACTCGGGACTTGCCATACGCAAAACAAATTCACGAATTTTGATAAAAAGATGACCCCATCATTTTTCATCTTTTAATAATCAGTTGTGCTTGGGTCAGTTTGTAACGTGTATGAATGTAGGTAGAAAAGCAAATGTATATAAAATAGAGAGTGTCACAAAGCACTGCCCGGGGCGCCCCAATCAGTTTATTATATTATTTACTTACCCATATATTATTCTAGCTCAAAATTTCACTACATTTAAGTTTCATCTTTATAAGCAATATATCTTTGCCAGAGCAGCATTCTATGAATACCTGGGTCAAAGCGTGTTTTATGTCACCCGGATCTGAATTTGAAAGCGAATGACTAAAACTACTGTGCAAATATAATAGTTTAGTTACGCGGATAATATCAGAAGTAGGTTCATTTGTAATCATTATATAATATCATTTCAAAACCAGATTACCTTATGAAAAATGGGAGAGTTTGTTATTCAACTTAATACATGTATTGTCAACAAGGAGTTACCTATGATCAAGCCTCATTTGATCACCCGGGTGTGAAAAAAAGAGAAAGACACACGTCTGGGAAAGACGGTCAGAAAATAAAGCCATAATGCATAAAAGACATTGTGAATTAATTCATGAAAACGCTACGTGACAAAATTTATTATTTTTCTAAACTAAGACTTAAAACGTTTCAATTAAGCAAATTAGTATCTAGATCGCCATTTTTGATAATGTGAAAAAGTTTTAAGAAAAACTTGGCAAACATGAGCCTTCGTGCCGGAATGTCAAAAGGACAGTTTTTTTCCATGACACTGCTTCTTTTTTTTAACACACTTCACATTTGATGAAAGTTAATTTATACATTTTTTGTTCTTTGTAACAAAAATATTAAACACTTTTTATTCATTAAATTGTTTATTTAGAAGAAGAATTTTATATTTAAAACATTCTAAAAACTACTACAATTGTATTAACGCAATGTATTATTTATCATTTACCATTTTGTAAAGAAATGAATATGAAAACATTTTTTATTTATTCTTCCCGACCAAAGGATATCTTAAGACACTCCCTGTCTCGCGTTGGGTTAACATCTTTTTATGTACGGTTACTTTTTTCTAAGGAAACCTTTTTCTTAAAAGTAATACTCACGACGTTTCTTGCACCATTGAATTCATCTGTAAAATTACCCGGATATAAAGCGCTGGTATGCATGACAAACCGACTGCTGTCTCCCGGTGTGTAAAAATCATACGACAAAACAGTTACAGCATCAACCGACCTGGAAAAGAGTTTTACAATAGGAAACGTTAAACATTTTAGCGTAAGCGGGTTCATCAGGATAAATATGAAAGCCGAATCTTTGTCATTTGTAGAGTTAGATCGAGGTCATCAGTTTGTTGAAAATATCCCAGAGTGGAGAGGCAGATGGAGCTATTCCTTGAAAGAGTTTCAGAACAGATGATGTTACCAAGTGAACCGAGTTCCCTGCATGATTAGCCAATCCATGAAACGACGATGATAAAATGAGTTAAATTGGTTCAAAGTCTTTCGCAATGAAAAAAGGTGTGACACCCACCGGTGGTCGCGGTTGCAGTCCACTGGTCGCGACGTCAATATATGACACTGCGCCGTCGGCCCGTGGTCAACTCCCAGTTGCAGCTCGAAGCTGTAATGTTTCTTCCACCAGCGTTTTAGGGTTGACTCCTTTTCGCTGCCACCAGCCTGTGTCCTGGTCGATCTGGTCGTTTCCGGTTCGATACCAGCTTTGTCGTTCTCATCTCGCCTCCAACACTTGGTCACCGAAGTAACTGCTTTGATCCCAAATCTAACCTACCCACGTTGTGACTTTGATCTTAGGTAGACGAAATCAACCAGGCGTCGGGCCGTAGTGCAAGCTGAATCCGGGGTAAAGGTGATACCGCACAAGCGTAAGTAAAAGAATAATAATAAAACAAACTCACAAGGTTCAAATATGTTGAGAAATAACAATTATCTTTATTTATCTGTTGAATACAGGTGTGTGTTTCTCTCCCGGTCCGTTTCTATGGATTCGTGACACTTTTTGCGTTTCTTAAGCGGGTTATGGTATAAATTAAAATAAATAAACTTGCTTTTGGTAGGAAGACTAAGTTGAGAAGACGTGGAAATCTTTCAGTCAGCTCCTGCGAGGCTGGTCTCCAACTGCAACTCCGAACTCTCTTGAAACTCTTCGAAACTCTCTGATCAGCTGCCTCGAGACGGTCGTTTATATGGACACCGACCAACTCCGGGGTAGGGCACTTTCCAGTTCGGGGTTCCTCCCTCGTCCGTGAGGGAAGGTCGGAGAGTTATCCTCCTAGACTCTTCCTCTTTCATATTGGTATCTCATACCAATCCCTTCAATGGGTGTTAACAACGTCTCCGTCTTTCTCATACATTCACCTCCGCCTATTACCCATGCTACTTCTTAGCCAATGATCTCTCGGGAGTGTGGGTGTGGCTAGACTGGCCCTCATGTTTACAAACACCTTTGTTTTTTTCCTTTTCCTTCAACCAAATCATTTACAATTCCCAGATTGCGAATAATTCTTTATCACATCGTAATGCCCGGACCTCTATCGACTCATTAATCACTGTCAAAAAACGCGACATGTGTTCTCCGCTGGTCAATCCTTCAACTGGGTGACCGTGCCCACTCGAAAATTAAATTCTTTATTTTTCTCATGTCTTAAAATTCTCTTATCACCAGATGCTCATTTTCGAGTCGACAGTTTGAATAAGCAATAATAATGATCCCCTTTCCGACTCTCTTTTTCTTTTTTTTTTTTTTCTTTTTTTTTTCATGTCAAGATTCGTACATAGACCAGACGGCTTCCCTCGCTGGAATCAGGAATTAAAGTCAAATGATATCTCTGAAAGATAATTAATAGCTATTCTCTAGGGTGGTCTCAAGCTGAAATATTTCATGGCCAAATGCGTCGACCGAATTTGTTTATCTTTCACAATTCTGTTTCGTTTGACGCGTCACTCCATTATCGTGACATTAATTAATTTGACAGAATCACAGTCTCGCTTTTTCGTACTGATTTTTTGTCTTTTTGCGAAAAGTTTCTTCCTTTTGTAAATAAAATAAATCCTTTTTTTTAATGTCGCTCAGTCTATCTTTCGGTATAGCTCTTTCTCGCCTTAAGTATTTCCCGTTTTTAATTTCTATAGTTAATTAGTTAGCCAATTACCACAGCTAAATAGTGTCTCAAAGGTCAACTGCCTTATAAATATGATCTGAACCATGGTTTTTCAAACTGTGCGTCCCAACCCTTCAATGGGGCGCAAGATAAATAAAATGGGTTGCGACAAAAAAGAAAGAAAAAGTATGTAAGGGAAAGCAAAGTGTAGAATATTAACATCTCTAAATGCTGCACAGCACTCATAGATAATCGCTAGTTATTCACCGAGGTAAGCTAGTATTATATTTTTTTAAATATAATTAAATAATATATATATATATATATATATATATATATATATATATATATATATTGTCTGTGTGTGAGTGTGTGTTCTCATTGACTTTATGTATCTTGTTCGCCAAACTCGTTGCCATGTCAGTTCTCTCTCAAAAAGAGACCTCGCGCCAAAACTTAACGACGAAGGTGTGCAGTACATGTGTCTTCGTGTCCGGTAAAAGCCGTTAAGATTGTTGAATAATTCAGTTGCATCTGAAGTCAGAGCTAAAATTGAATTTCCCGACTCACTGTCGAAGTCGAGTACCGGTGCTTTCATTCTGTCCTGTATTCATCCGAAGTTTCGCAACTTTCGGTAAGTTAACTGTTGTTTCGGCGAAATTTAAGAACGGGCTAGTTTTTTTTTTTTTTTTTAAGTAATAATTTTATATTCATACAAATAGATAATGCAGATACATGCAATTCCAATATATGCAGATCATAAGAAATATACATATAAATTGTCGATGCTAAATAAATTAACCTAATGAACAGAGATTGTCTTTGATTTCTTACAGGTAGGTATAATGGATCGCAATGCAAAATGTGGTTCTTGCTGTGGATTACAGTAAAAAGTTTGAAAAACACTGAACTAAACAACGTTTAAAACTCACGTTTTGATAGCTTCAACGTCGTAAGCTCTCTCAATCATATTCCGGTCGAAGCTGATAACGATTCCAAGTAGAAGTTTTTCCTGTCCACTCGCCCTTGCTTCTTCGTCAAAGGCCTTTCTTAGATCCTAAAATACAATTGAATATCGATAATAAAGAGCTACATCAACATATAGATTTAATACTGATTAAGACTTTCACTGCGACTTTAACAAAGTCGCCATGAATTGTTGCCTGGCTGTGCTGGCCCAAATGAAGGAAAATAGGAAATTACTATTTATTAGAAAATAAATGAATGCAAAAATGATGACGGCAATTTTTGTCCGCCATTTTGGTTTCGACTCTTCGGTAAAAACTAAGCAAAATTACACCACACAATCTAATAAAAATAGGTCACAAAACTACTCGTGTTGTACGCTACTCTATGTCTAAACTGTGTTGGAAATAGCATTAAGAGTTGGTAAGTTTATAACACAAACCTAGGGACTACTATTTAACATTTTGCAAAGACGTACAAGAACGGATTACCCTCATTCCCTTCATATTCCCACTGGAACAGATTCTTCCCATGTACCGCATCTTTGTGGAACCGACTCCCAAGGGGATGCTTCCCCGATCATTACAATCTTAACCTAATCAAGTCTAGGGTTAACCGTTATCTTTCCCACGTATCCGTATAAACTGTCCCTTTTACACTGTAACCCTGTATTTCGATTTGGCTTTTGGAGCTTATACAGAGTGAACATCGTTGTAAAAGAAATATGAGTTATAAATTCAATTAATTAAAAGAAAATTAATTACTTAGAAAGCGAAAAGCACATAAGCCATTGTTGCAAGCGAGAACTAAGGAAACGCAAGTGCAGTTTCAGCTATTGTTCAGACACGGAAGTACCGTGTCGGACATATTGTGTATGTGTGAATAAAAAGCAGGAATATCGCTCCTGCGGACTGAATTCAGCTGACTAAACTACGTTGCCGTTGATATTACAGACCAAGTTGTGACAGTGATGATAATGAATATGCGATTTCCAAGCTTTCGTCGCTTACTACACCTGTGATGACATCCATATACAGTCAACTCGATATGTGCACAGGTTTGACTTTTTGTTCCTGATCGCTTTCAAAAGAAAAAAAATGAAGTCAATTCTTTTTCAAGACTCTCTGGTAGGGAAGTAACAATAATATGATTTCTGACTTAAACGTGGGATCCTTCCTTCAGCTTCGAGAGGTGGGCTGCTATCTTCCTAACTTCACTGGCCTCGGTTACTCCTGATTCCTCACTACCAGTCCTGTCACTGGCTACTGGGCAGCTCCAACTTCTTTGGTTACCTACCTATTTCTGTCACGGCTGGACCCACTTTCCTCGACTTCCTGCATCTCTTTATTTATATGGATAATCCTGGGGTTCTATCCACTCCATCCACTTGTCTTCCGGAAGGACTACTTTTATGACTATCTAAAATCATTTATAACATTTTTATACTTCCCAATTCAAAGGCAGCCCAAAATAATATAAATCCCCCAAAACACAGACACTTAAATTTACTCAAAGATGGACTAGAGATAAAATTCCTACGAAACTCAGATAACTAAGTGAACTTAAATGAAATTATCTCCTTATCTTCTAAAGATGTGTGGAAATCATATTTTTACATATGTGCAAAAAAAAATCTGAAACAAAAACTTGAACTCATCAATAATGTTTCTTTACTAGAGTCCAGTTGCTCCATATATACTACAGGCTAAATGGCACGGTTTGCAGTCCAGTTCGCTAGTGCAGCGAATTTGATCTTCTCTGAATCTCTTATACATGTAGCCTTGTGTCAAACTAATTTTAGTTTAATAAATGTCCACAAGAAATTTGGGGCAGGGGAATGGTAAATGAGCTATTCTAACAAACCATTACAGTCGTTTAGTGAATTCAATGTGATGAGCTATAGATCATGTCGCCCACTGCGCGAAAAAGGTTGCCCATGACTGGTTTAAAATGTTGGAGGTATTTCTGTAGCTCTCCGTTTATTTACTCGGGGTACTTCGATGCATATAAAAGGTTAGCGAAATAGTCGAGAAGATTATTACTTGAATTCAATCTTCGGTTTGTGTCTCCCATTTATCGCCTTATTTCAGTGTAGTGAAAGAGAGAATCATCTACCTCGAAAAAGAGTTCGTGTTTTGTGTGCGATCTACTGAAGAAAGGTTGTAGAAAGTAGTTAGCAAAAATCTGCTACTTTATGTATCTGAATCTATGCTAATGTTCTTTCCTCCGCTGAATGGCGTGGCCAATCAGAAAAACCGCTTGGTGAATAAAAGCCGTTGTTTTTCGTTGACGAGGGAAGGATTTTTCTGAACTTCATGGATGAACATGCGTTTCTGCTGGTGAAAAGTGAAGGTTGGACTTGTGACCCCATTTTGTCGTTTCTACGTTCCCTATTACGACGGTCTATCGTTTGAAATGTCATTTGGCTTCAAGTGTTGCAGACGAGAAACAGAAGAAACCTATTGCAGGGGTTTATTGCTACTATAAATTTACAGTTTTTTTTTGTTTGTTTGTTAGTTTCTTTTCTTTACGACAACAGCCAGATTTAATATATACCTATAGTACTCACTTTCCAGCCTTAATAGAGTTGAAAATCATTTACGCAGTCTTATGGAAGAAGACTTCTCCGTCTTGTATCTTCTTTTCTATAGACGCAACCTCGATAGCCTATTGTTATTTCCGTAGCAAATGTTCAGATGAGCGCTCCATTCTTTAGTGCCACCAGTTCAAACCTTTACAACTAGGACACCCCATACTGCATTCAAGGAATCGAATCATCCTCATTTCCTCTTTGTTCCAAATATAAAAAGAAAAATCTACTCAAACGGCTTTTCTCCAAAAATGCCCTTATTTTCTTTAAGTCAAGGGTCAATATATTGTATATCAACCTCGTCCTCATAATCTTCACTTCCTCGCACCGCCTCTTTAATTAATATCATATCATTCATCGTTACTATTCTAACAGTAATCATATCCCTTGAGTGGATATCGAGCCTTGTATTGGTTGAATTTTATTACTATTCAGAACTTTTCTTCTATGGAACCGAGACTTTATGAATTTAAGCGCAATACTACATTGGCAGATATGTCTCATTATTTTGCAGTTGAAATGGCTAGATTTCTATGTTAACAGTTTCTTCTATCACACTCCTAGTTTGTGGAAGTCTCTTCCGGCTTCTTGCTTCCCAGTCAACTTTGATCTTCAAAAATTTAAATGAAATTTAATTCTTAATCTTTTATTGTACCCTCTCCTTAATAGTAGTTTTTCGCATATTTTCTAACACCCAGTAATCTCTTGCATCTTAGTGACTTTACTGCCTTACTTGGGTTTAAATGTTTAAATCTTTTTTAAAAATACAGAAAAAGTTTGAACTACCCTTCCCTATAATTTTCACGTGTAAATTGTCAACATTTAACACTTACCTTGAGTAGCTCAGCAAAATTCTGTTTGTCTTCGAGTGGGCTTCCTCTGGAAGTCGGGTACTGCCAACAAATATCCAGGCCATCAAATTTACGACTGCGTAAAAAATTAATCGTCGAACTAACAAATATCTGTCGAGTATCATTTGTGGCAACAACGTGGGAAAATGGCAACGAGCCCATATTCCATCCGCCCACAGCCAATAAAGTCTTCAAGTTGGGATTTCTCAGCTTATTCACTTGACTATACCTAAAAAGAGAAACAATATATTAAATTAATCATGTAGCCTCGTTAGGGAGTCATGGGTAAGCAAGGCTCTCGACAACTTCCCGACTCTTGTAACTCAAGGCGACGTTTGACTCTTTACCATCCTTACTTGTCCCTGCTCTGCTATTCATTGACACAGACTCTGAGCGATCATGGCTCTCCACAACTTTATCCCCTAATAGCTCTAAGCAACGTTTGACTCTAGCATCCCTACTTGTCCCTGATCTGCTATCCATTGACACAGACTCTGGGCGATCAGGGCTGTCCATAGATTTATTCCCTTGTAGCTCTAAGCAACGTTTTGGCACTACCATCCCTACTTGTCCCTGCTCTGCTATTCATTGACACAGACTCTAGGCGATCATGGCTCTCCACGTCTTCCTCCCCTTGTAGCTCTAAGCGTTTAACTATTTACCATCCTTACCTGTTCCTGATCTGCTATCCATTCACACAGATGGGTGATCATAGCTTTTCACAACTTCCTCCCCTTGTAGCTCTAAGTGACGTTTGACTCTTTACCGTCTTTCCTTGTCCCAAATCTGCTATCCCTTGACACGCTGATGAGCGATCATGGCTCTCCACGTCTCCCCCCCCTTGTAGCTCTAAGCGACGTTTGACTATTTACCATTCTTCTTTGGCCCTGCTCTGCTATCCATTGATACATACTTTTTAGGCGATCATGGCTCTCCACAACTTCTTCCCCTTGTAGCTATAAGCGACGTTTGACTCCACCATCCCTACGTATCCTTTCTCTGCAATCCATTCACACAAAAGCATGGGCGATCGTGACTCTCCACAACTTCCCCCGTTTGTAGCTCTAAGCGACGTTTGACTCCTACCATCGCTCTCTGTTCCTGTTCTGTGCTTCATTGACACAAACTCGTTTCCCTGGGTAAGTTACTCGCTGTTTCCCCTCTGCGAGTGTTAATTTTTCCTTGCGCTCTTTCTTTATAATCTTTCTTATGAATTCCACCTTCCTCTTTTTGATTTTAAGATGACATTTTCTTTTGAACATCCTCGTTGCTCACGTGTTCTGTCGATGATATTCTCAGCATCTATCTGTAGAACCACAGTTTGGCCGCTTCCAGTCTTTTCTCCATCTCTAAAGATATTGTCTAGCATTCACTGCCTTACAGGAGGAAAGATGTGATTGTGTTCAATGTGATACTATGGATATTCATTTAGAAAGTGAAAAGGGGGTTTTAGATCGATCTCAAGAGCTTCTGTTTGATGGACCAGTAGATGGTTTCTTTTGAAGTTTGGTCTTCTAAGTAGCAACCACTTGTTACAGGGAAATTTGAGTGGCAGAGATTGAAGAATTTTGGTTAGTTTTCACAGAGAGATAGCAATTCCTCTTATAAGCGGGATCCATATTGACCGAAGTAGAATAGAATGTAAAGAAGCGAAGTGTTTTTTGGAGATCAAGTGAAAACAAAAAACTAAAAAAAAATCTAATGTCATTTTCGGAATCAGCATCATCAAATTAGCTAAAAAATGTTTTGCTTCTTGGCACCAAAAATCGTGTTGACCAATGTAATTCAGTGATAGAGATTGAAGAATTTTGGTTAGTTTCACAGACATATAGTAATTCGAGAGTACGTTCCAAGATATAAAATTGTTAAAATTGTAAAACTGTTATTAATCTGAATGGAAAGCAATAATCCAAATTAGCCGTTGAATAATCCCTCAAATTATTATCGGATTATCACTGTGTAATATGAAGGCCGATGTAAATATCTACTGAAAGTGTGCTTTGCGAAATAAAAGCGAATATATATATATATATATATATATATATATATATATATATATATATAATATAATATAATATAATATAATATAATATAAGTATCTTGCATAACTTTATCATCATAATATGGTCAAGGGTTAAATGCAGGAATGATAGCGCAGTAGGATTACGTTTGGATAATCAACTCTAGGAAATCCTAATTACCTTAAAAACCAGCTTTCAAAGTTTAGGTTCTTTATGTGAGCTCGAAGCTCAAGCACTGAAATTAAAGATAAGAATGCTTTGGATGTGTTTTTAGTTTCAAAGAAACTGAAATAATCATAAATCTTCAAGAGTCTTCTAATAGAAATGAAAAAAATAATGATACTATAGACGCCCAAATAGAAAAGGAATATGTGGCTTTATTTCGATCTCACGTGTTTCTGTTTAATAGACTAGTAGATGGTTCCTTTTGTAATTCGGTCTTGTAAGCGGCATCAATTTTGAACGAAAGAGCTGAGAAGTAAAGAAATGGATTAGATTTTTTTGGAGATCAAGTGGAAACAAACCGGAAATAGGGCATATCCGTCTGTTGGTCTATATTAAAAGTCATGCTTCGGAACGAAGAGAGATAAGGGAGGCTATACTGATGACGTAGGTATTCATATTTTGTGTAAGAATGATCTTGAACAAAAATAAACAACATCCTATTAAAAATGTTCCAAGAAGTAGCACTCAGGAAACAACTTTCCAAGCCTTACGGCTATATTTCATTAAAACACCGCTTCCCGTACGAAGTTAATCAACGTAGAGATTTGTCAGTACCTAGATGGGTGACCGCTTGAGAATAGCAGGTGCAACAAGCTTGGATGTGCTGCTTCTGTAATGGATAATGACTCGGAATTGTTAATCGTGGAGCCGAGTTCGAATTACCATTGAGGTTGTTATATTCACTTAATCGCAAATACCCTTGGGAAAGGTATCAATTCACCTCTTCTCTCCTAGCTGTGGGTAAATTTGTAGTTACCGCTAAACCATTATTATCTCAAAAAAATTACAATCTAAAAATATTTTCTGGCTTTAAATAAACTGCAAAGGGTAGATAAGCCCTAGAAAACGAACCAATCAATCAATTCTCTAAAAACAGGCACAAACCGATACATTTATATCTGACATACGCACACATGCACATACCCATTTTCCAGTAGAAAATGTTTTATTTTCTTCTTGTTTTATATTGCAAATGATGCACACCTCCCCAACTGCTTGTTTCATATTAGACTTTATGCTAAAATTTTGACGTTTTGTTTTTGACTTCAAAATGTTCATGGCTGATATTAAAGGTTACGTAATTGTGTAATTATTCTATACTTCCATTATAAAAACGAATGGAGAATAGATGACATTTTGCGAAAAAATATCTGATCTTTAAATAACTGCATAATCTAAAATTAATTCTTGAAATCTAAAAATATTTTCTGCCTTTAAATAACCTGCAATGGGTTGATAAACCATAGAAACCGACTGAATCAATTTCGACAAGTGGAAGAGGGCGAAAGCCTTGAACGTACTGCTGTCTTTAACCACTTGAAACTTCAGCTTACAGGAAATGATTTAACCACTTAAAACTTCAGCTTACAAGAAATGTGAATATCGATTTTCCGAATATCGGATTATCAGAACGAAATTTCAATATCCAATATCCTATCAATATGTTTGATTTTACAACATTGTTTTGAATACAAATCTGTTACAAAATACGTATTGTTTTATTGGCTTTCACTGTTCTTGTGTATCTAAAGAGAAAGAGGACAGTCAGCTTGATGACAGTAGACCAACTTTAAAGCTAAGTTGAAGAAAACTTTAAGCACTTTTAAATATACATTGATACCTCAGTTTAGGTCGTTTCACAGTAAGACCATTTTCGAAGATACGTCGATTTTTCTTAATTTTTTTTAGCATTTCACCCCAAGCAAAGCGGGAATGCCACTAGCACGTTACAGAGAGTGAAAGTGAAGGAAAATACTGCATATAGAGAGGATTGAGGAAAGGATAAAAAAAGAACGGGAATCAAGGGAACAGAAGATGGTGATTGAAGCTGCATTTATTTTTTGAAGATTGTAGTTATTAGTGAAGCAAGTAAGAGGAAGGGAGTTCTAGTGTCGGGAAACACGAGAAAAGAAACAGCTGGAGTAGAAGGGGCGGATGCATTTAATTATCTCAACAGTAAAATGGTGAGACCTAGATATCAATCTAGTAGCATGTTTAAATTCATGTAGTCGGAGCATCAGAGAAATAGCTTATCAGAACAGTCACCATGAAAATATTTGTAGAAAAGACAGAGGGAAACCATATCAAATATTATATATACAAAAATAAAACTCGGCTTAGGTCTTTTTACTCGAGTTTACGTCAGCCGTTAAAAATATTAAAAGCCACAAAAATAACAATAAACATATAAAATCATATTTAAATAAATTTTAAAATAATATTATGTATACTATATATATATATATATATATATATATATATATATACATAAAATTTATGTATCGTAAAATTATCAAAAACAAAAAATAGCATAATAAAGTATGTTCAGCACATGTTCTTATTTCAAATTCCTACTGAGACGGCACTCGTGCGTTGTTTTCCGCTCCAACAACGATTTTGAATTCAGACTTGTTTATATTTGTGCTATGCCGTTGACGTTCTTTCAGTCACATTTCAATTGTGATTTAGAATACATTTTTACCCATGACTCCGAAGAAAAGTCCCAGTGCAAGTGCTAACGCTAAGCGTAAGTCTATATATAAGTTGGAAATCAAGAATACTGTACGTACATATCATAAATACTGTAATAGGCAATGGGGTGTGCTTATTTGTTGTTTATAGTGTGGTTATTTCGACTTAAGTCGTTTTTTTTGTTTGTTTTTTTTACCTAAATCGTGACCTCTGGAATAAATTAACAACGTAGGGTGAGGTATACCTGTAATTTTAATAAATAAATAAAATCAAAATGGAGGATTTACAAGCATGACATAATATGCAGTGGTGCCTTCATTAACTCTACGAATTTTTTTTTTTCTCGAATACGTATCTGTTACAAGTAATGGAGTTTATTGCTGTATCCGTTGGAATAAAGTTTCTCTGTTCCGATGGATACAGCAATACAAAGGCCGTAGTTGA